ATTATAATGTCCAACTGGAATTCGAAGGTTACAAATTAAAAGGTAAACAAGAATTACTATTATTCGTTAAAAACCGCGAATCTTTCGTTATCCTCTTTGGATCGTCGAACTAGCCATCGACATTATGTTCTCTTGATTTCCAGTTAGTGGTGCCTCGTCGTTTACCACCTCAATTTTGTATTATGCTCCGTAACGTTGCTCCTGACCTGGATACGAGTCAGTTGTTAATGGAATTGCAACAAGTTTATCGGGATATAATCAATGCATCTCGCATATTCAACAAAGATAATGGACAAACAACGCTTGTTAGATTGGATATTCAAAGTGTTAAAATCATAGATGAATTACTAAGAAAAAAATTTGTATATTTGTATCATTCACGTCACCCAGTGAGTGAGTATCTAGTCAAAATGTTTTCAACTTGGACACTTCCGTAGCAATTGTCCTCAACAGCGGAATAGATGTAAAATATGTGGTTTGGAAGTAGACGATCTCAAGAAACATCGGGAAGAAGATTGTGATAATCTATCAAAATGTGTAAGATGTAATGACAGTCACGATTCGAATGACAACAGATGTCCAACGATTAAATCTTACCGTTCCATATTAACAAAACAATTATTAAGAACAACCGAAACGAAGCAGGACAAGGATAAAGGAACCGTATTTCAACATAACAATAATGATTTTCCCCCAATGGATGCGATGGTGAACATCAATCGTTACAATAGAAACGGATGGGTGGATAGGAATAATGATGAACGGTTATCCAGATTAGAAAAAAATGTGGGTGAGAGGGGCGAAGAGATTAACAGACTATTAAAGGTTGCAGAACAACATGATGAACAACTACGTCAAATGCAGCATGTAATCCAGCATCAACAAACCCGGCTAGAACAATATGCTCAAAATTTAACGCTACTTAACGTGGATATTAAATTTTATAACGAATTTTTAGGTCAGTTTATTACCCCAGTCTGTCAAGCGATGCTAGAAATTATTCCAGCATTAGTCAATAAACAAACGCTGAATACAGACACGACAGCATCACTAATTAGCCTATATGATAAACTCGCGGACTAGAAGTTTGAAATTCTAAAATTCTACAGTTCTAAAAGTCCAAAAGTCTAAAATTCTAGTATTCTAAAAGTAGGAAAATCCAGAGCTAGGCAACTTTGCTGACTTTCAACTCCCACTTCACTCCAACTCAACTCCGTTTTCAAATTTCTAACTCTAACTCTAAGTCCGCTCAAAATTTGCCAACTCCAACTCTCTCGACAAAAATCTCAACTCCAGTTCAACGGTAAACTCGTCTATAATCTAGATAAATATGATCATAAAATGTTAAAAGATCATGCCGCACGAGGTTCGATCAGAACCGCAAGCAGGTGTAAAGCAGTCGAACACTTTTACTTATCTATGGTTATCTTGATGAATGAACTGCGTAGTAGAGGAGAGTGAAAACCGATTTTTGGAAGAACTCACTATTTGTTACCGCACTGAGCATTATGTTGCCATTATGCCAATGGAAGTACACGTAGAGGTGGAGACAGTACGCGGTCGAGTTTTGGATCGAAGCAGGAGTGACTCAACACTTGATGAAAATGCTAGAATATGCTTTATGGTGCTACACATGAATTTGCTTACGTTCACCAAAAAATTTGCCAAAGAAAGTGTTAGATTGCATCCAAACTGCAAATTCTTTTATGAATGGACCGGCTGCACGAATGACTTTCTAAAAGAGTAGGATGATCTCCTAAAGACTGTCATTGACGATTTAAAACTCTTACCCAATGATCCTGAACTGTTGTATTATCGAGCACTTTGGTTGAGGTTAAAAGGAACAAATTAAGCGATGACTTCATCAGAATAATTTGCTTCTTTTAACCTCAACCCGACAGCCCGATAAATGGCGAATAAAATGTGAATCGGATCCTGAATATGGTTTTTTACAACTTTTGACTCACACAATCTTACAGCATTGCAGAGAAATTTTCGAAATACTAAAATCCATGAAAACGTTGAAGTAGTTGGACGCCTGAAAAGTTTTCCTGGGCCATTTCTGTTCTAGACCAATTCTAGAAAAACAGAAACATATAATGTTACTCACGTGATTCCAATATTACTGCCATTCAGAATTCCTAATGTTTTACTGCAGTACTAACTAACTATATTACCGCTTTCCCTATTGTCGCATTCCTGGATACCTGCCTGTCTGTATTCCTTCCTTCCATCCTGTATTTCTGAATTCCTAAATTCTTACCTTTCTATAGAGGAGTATATTTCTTTTTCCCTGCTTTCTATATTCCTGCCAAAAATGAAATAAAACATATTTTTTCTTCTTAGCACACAAAAAAGTACTATATGCGAGAATATTTTTCTTAATTTTCTTGTTTCTTTTTCGAAAAACCAACAATATGAATGGCAGAAATTTCTTTGTCTTTTTGTTCCGCTCACATCTATAAACGTTCATAAAGAAATAAGTGATGATTAAACATTAATAAGAATAAGAATAGAAAAACATCTACATAGTTTTTTAACTCATAGTTAAAAGCAGACAGGAACAGTAGTGGTAATACTATTAATTCATCAAGTGAATCATTCTTGACGAAAAATGTCGAATCAACAATCATTAAAAGAATCTGATATTAACTTAACATCAAATGTTTTGCCCGTAAATAAAAAAGACGATATAATCTTAATATGGTTTGATAATTGTAATATTGATCAAAATATAAAAAATCAATTTGAACAATTACACGATGATTGTCTTCAATGTTTTAATATAACTGAACTAACTGATTCTATTACGAATATTATTGATAAAAATATTTTTCTTATTATATCCAATCAATATTCAGAGGAAACTTTACAATTGTTTCATGATAACGAAAAACTCGATTCGTTTTATATCATTTGTATAAATAAACAAGTGTATCAAAATCAGAAAGAATATTCAAAATTAGTTGGCGTTTATATAGAATATGAACAATTATTTCATGCAATACGTAAACAAATACGTTTAGTATCCAAACGATCAACTATTTTTAAAACATTTAATCGACAGAATAAAGTAATACGTGATTTAGAATATGAATCTGTTAATTATTTATGGTATAAATTATTACGTGATATGTTAATAAATATGCAAAACAATGATACAACATCAAAACAAGAAATGTTAGATTATTCCCGTTCATATTATCATAGCAACGATATACGATTAAAAGAAATTGCTAATTTTAATGAAAAATATCAATCATCAGATGCTATTCGATGGTATACGAAAACAACAACATTTCCATTTATGTTTGTTAATCAAGCTTTGAGAACAGAAAATATCGACACATTGTATAATCTAAGATATTTTATTGTTGATCTTTGTAAACATCTAAAATTAGTTTATGATGAAAATATTGAGTTATACAACGAAATATACGGGGAAGAATTCGTCGTATATCGTGGTGCAAAACTATCTGACAAGGAGATTGATCAATTAGAAAATAAAATTAATAACTATGTTTCAACAAATGGCTTTTTATCAACGAGTCGTTCACGTGACGTAGCTGAGATGTTTACTGACAATGTTTTATTTGAAATTACAATTAATACGAAGTTAGACAATATTATTTATGCCGATATAGGATCTTCAGGATTGAGTGAGAATCCAACTGAAGAAGAAATTCTATTTGATTTAGGTGTCATATTTCAAATAAAAAATGTCACATTTAAAGATAATAAATGGATTGTATCATTCAGGACAGTAAATAATATATCTTGTTTAAAAAATAAACATTTTGAATTACTACAAGAATATATCAAACGAAGTTTGATGAATAAAACTATTAATAATGATTTTCTTTTTGGCTATTTTTTATACGAATTGGATTATTATTGTACAACAATTGAATATTTCAAAGATTCGTTTAAAATATTTAATGGCGTTGCCAATTATCTTGCACATTTTCTTATCGCACAGTCGTATAAATCAATCAAACAATATCCTTTAGCATTGGAATATGCAAAAAAAGCATATATAATTGATTCAAATATTTCAGATAATTCAATGGCCCGAGCCAAATATCTATGGTTGAAAGGAACAATTTATTTGAAACAAAATGAATTAAATAATGCATTGAATTATTTTAAAGAAGCATTAACAATTCCTGATATTATTGATCTTTCAATTATAGACGAACTTCATTCATGTGTTGGTTATGTCTATTACAAGCTAGGTAATTTATTTTATGCATACAAACATTGTCGACAATCGTTAGAAATATTAAATGAATTTTATATAGAACATTCAAGTGATTCAATAGCTCAATTGTATTTAATATTAGGTAATATTTTATTCGAATTAAATGGTAACAATACCGATCATTTGGTACTTGAATATTTACAAAAATCATTATCAATTAAAACAATTATTTATCCTAATAATAGTTATCAACAATTTGCATCTGTTTATACTTCAATTGGTAACATTTATTATCACATGAATAAATATGATTGGGCATTATATAATTACAATAAAGTATTAGAATTGTATAAACAAGATCGTTCATATAATGTTGTTTCAGATGAAATTCTATTCATATATGAACATATTGGAATGATTTATTATCAACAAGAAAAATTTGATTTAGCATGTAAAAGTTTTAGATTAATCGTAGGAGCAATGGAGAAAAATAATTACTTAAATGATAAAATTCACGATTTATACGACCTACTTGGTCAATGCTATGGGAAACAAGAACAATATGATGAATCAATTGAATATTATGAGAAATCGCTAAAGATGATTGAGAGTCTACTACCAAAAAATAAAGTGAAAATATCATCATTGTATATAAATATTGGTTTATGCTATAGTTCAAAAGCCGATATAATTTCAAGTATAAAAAATTTTATGAAGGCATTAGAAATACAAGAAAAATGTGAATTAATTGATGAAGAAGAGTGTGCACGATTAAAAATTTTAATCTATGGATGTTGGATTGACGCTGGTCAAAGTAAATTGAAACTGGACCAGACCTGGGATGTAAAATTAGAAGATATTATTCAGAATATAAAAATCACACTGTATAAAGCGGGTAGATATGAAGGTGCTTGGAAGATATGTTTAGATTCTGCAAAAAAGTACAAAGAGACTGCTAAATACTCTTCAATCATTGGTGAAAATTATGAAGTATTTGCTAATATATATCAACATTTTGGTGAAAAAACACTTGCCTATAATTGTTATGTAAAATCATTAAAATACTTAAGGATAATTTCCATCTATCCATATTCATATAGAAATATAAAACGTGTGGAAAAATCTGTACGTCGAATGTACCATTCTATTTATAATGCACGAGACGTTCGTCCCATTTTTCAAGAGTAACCGCGAACGAACTCTGACGCGTATTTTCTTGTGATTATCATCCGTTATTCAAGAGAAAATGGTGAGTGAGTAGAACTATAAGGAAAATGTAATGGCTTTTCATTAACTCATTTTGCTATCTTTTATTTGATCTTTCAATAAACTCGATTCTTAAGATTATTTTCTTAAGGCCTGTTGAATATAAACAAATCATCATTTTAGAGAAGGACAAAACGTTTTAGTGATGATTCGGTTTGCTTCAAAACTTAGATCCACAAGCTTCTTTAAACGACTACGTTTAATGGCATTAACATAAAAATCGATACGATGATGTTTACGGCTCAGTAAAGTATTTCCAAAAAACCCGGATTTCTATACGATAGCAGACTTAGCTGGCCACGTCGCTTTTTAACTGATAATACATGCTTGTATGTAATTGATATGAGGATTTATGTGTATGATTATTAACAAAATATAATTAAGTGTGTACACATTCTCTTTCTCTCTTCTCCAATATATGATGTACATTATCAAGAAAGGTGCATTTTCAAGAGTTCAGATCCTTGGTCTCTTCCATATGAAGAGAGGCTTTGAAGATAAAGAACGGAGAATAACAAGGTGCATACTCTCTCTCGAATATGAGTTGCAGTGTCATATTCAGTGATGGTTTCCCCCCATCATTTAAGGGCGGGTCCCCATTTAGATTTTTCTCTAACGTTCCCAGTTTGTAAAGGACACTTCGAAGTATATGTCCTGAAGTTTTTTCGGCTTACTGACATTATTTGGCTGAGAAAAAAATTAATTACTTAAAAAAATATTGTTAAATTTTTGAACAAGGGATTATTATTAAAAAAATTCCTGTCCATCCTCCATTCATCACAAAAGCTTGCTCTTGCCTAGATCGATAGAGAAATGTGTGAAGAATATTTATTATGAGAAAATATGCAAGAATTTTTGTTCTTTCCTTCCTGATATTGACTAATTAGTACTAATTATCGTTAATTTAGCCTACTCTCTAGCATAAAGTCTTATTTGTAAAATAGCAACGCAACGAAAAAGTTCAAGCAACACCTCATCTGACAGGGAATTTCACGGGCTACTATATGGACTACCTTAAAAATTTTAGAATTCGTTTTTGGTCGCTCAGTAAGTCTGGTAAGTCGAAAATTTAACAAATATTGTTTATGTAATTAATTTTTTCTCAGCCAAGTAATTTCAGTAAGCCGAAAAAACTTCCGAAGATATACTTAGAAGTGTCCTCTACAAACCGGGAAGGCTTGAAGAAAAAATTCAAAACTTGAAAATATCACTGGTTTTTGGCTCACCGAAGATGTTTCTACCTAACCTTACCGCTAGTTTTGCCCGAACCAAGCATTTTGGAGTAAAACTCTAAGTGCAAAAGTTGTTCAGAATCGAATTTTGGAGTCACTGACGAGAGCTTCTTTTAAAATTTTTTGTTTTTGACTTTTAAATTACATTTTACGGTTTTTAAAGTTTTAAAATTTCGTATTTTTCAATTTAAAAATCAAAAACAGAAAATTTTAAAAGAAGCTCTTAACAAGAACTCCAAAATTCGATTCTGAACAACTTTTGCACTCAGAGTTTTGCTTCAGAATGCTTGCTTCGAGCGAAACTAGCCGTAAGGTGAGGCGAAAAACACTTCTGGTTTGAAGTTTCCTCGAGGAGACGAACGTTAAATTTCTGCGGCAGACTTCATTCGGGAACGATGAAAAGAGTTTCTCCTTATACAGCTTAATGTTCTCTATCGAACTACGCTGGAATCAACTCTTCATATCAAAAAATGAAGTTTTCATTGAAATTTTAAAAATAGAGCAAAAAACCCGAAAAAAACTTAAAATTTTTTTTAATCAAAAACTATAAATCCGGGAACCGAAAGCTTTGTTGGGACATATACTCCGAAGTGTCCTCCACAAACTGGTGGAAAAAACGGGTGTGGGGCCCCCCTCTTAAGTGTTTTCATGATGAAATCACTCCTCCAATTTTATAATCGTATAGTCACGTGCGGCAGACAAAATTAATTATGTCCTCAACCCTCTACCCCAGATGTCCACACGCGTGAACATTGATAAAATCGATATATAGAAATAACGAACAATCGTATCAAAACCGGATTTTGTTGCACCCTGAAAGAATTCATCAGCTCTCGATTGATAAAAAAACGTTTTCTTTCTATGTATCATGAGCCAGATAATCAGCTTTTAAAAGTGCAAATTATTGAAGTTTTTAACAACTTCTTCCATAGACTTAACCATACAAAGGTCTTTAAATGTAGTGGTTGATTACTATTGCTATAAGAATCCTTTCTATAATTACACAGGAAAATACTGTCAAGTTTCTTTGAAGGACCGGAATGAAATGTCCCAGGGCTGGGCAACTCCAACTCCGGAGTTGAGGATTTTTTTGTTGGAGTTGGAGTTGGAGTCGGAATTGACTTTGGCGGAGTTGGAGTTGGAGTTGAGATTTTAGTAGGTTGGAGTTGGGTTTTTGAATATTTACTCTCAACTCCGTTTTGCATTTTTGGAAATATTGAATAGTTATAAACTGGTCTTCTAAAAGATGGAGTGGCTGTATTCACGAGTGAATTCGAAAGTTCTTTGCGCTTTCTTGCTGGAAAAAGCTCAAAAGCGTCCAGAATCCTGCTAAAAATCGAAAAATCTTCCGTACAAAAGTGAAGCAACCGGACGGCTTGTCCAAGCGTGACGCTGTAA